GCCCACCCCCATCCCAGCCCCACTGGAGCTGGACTCCCTCCTGCTCCTTGAGGACCCCGCCCCGCCTATCCCTCCCCGCGCCCCCTCCTTCTCATTTCAGCTCCTACGCTCAGGATTCCCACTTCTCGGCCAGGACGCCGTTCTTCCTCCACCCCTTGTAGCTCCTGGGGGCGCTTGGGGCCAGGGGTCCACCTGGGAGGAGGTGGGAGGGCCCCAGACTTGACCCCGCCCAGGCCCTGCCCAGACTCCCCGCCCTGCCCCGGACCCCAGCCCAGTCAGGATCCAGCACGTCGGAGGGCCCCCTGGCCCGAGGTAACAAGCCAGAGCCTCTGCCCTCCCTGGCTGCTGGGAGCTGCCTCCTCATCAGCTCGTTCTGCCTCACCCCTCCTCACCTGCCTGCTGCCCGCCCGTTCCCGCCTGATCCACTCTGGCCCCTGCCTTGCCAGCCCGGGTGGGCACGCTGCGGGCCGGGCCGGGCCGGGGCTTGGGCTGTAGCGCTTGGCTTTGCCTGTGGCCTTGGGTGGCCCCAGAGCTGACAGCTCCCTCCTTTCCAAACTCCCCAGGCCGCTGCCTCCTCCCCAGGCCCAAGTCCCTTGCGGGCAGCAGTCCCTCCACTCGCCTGCTGACGCTGGAAGAAGCCCAGGCTCGCACCCAGGGCCGGCTGGGGACACCCACTGAGCCCACAGCTCCCAAGGCCCCGGCCTCACCCGCAGAAAGGTGAGTGGGGTGCTGGGGGGCGGGCGAGGGCAGACTGCAGGCCCTGGTGCCTCAGACTCCTCCTGTCTCTCACCCACACGCCAGGAGGAAAGGGGAGAGAGGGGAGAAACAGCGCAAGCCCGGGGGTAGCAGCTGGAGGACATTCTTTGCACTGGGCCGGGGCCCCAGTGTCCCTCGAAAGAAGCCCCTGCCCTGGCTGGGAGGCACCCGCGCCCCACCACAGCCTTCAGGTCAGAGGCCCTGCAGTTGGCATGGCGGGGGGTGGGGGTGGCGGGTCCTCCTTCCTCTCCTACCCCTCCTGTGTTTCCTTGCAGGCAGCCGACCTGACACGGTCACACTGAGATCTGCCAAGAGTGAGGAGTCCCTGTCATCGCAGGCCAGCGGGGCTGGTGAGCACAGGACAGCCCTGCTTATGCTCAGGTGGAGCTGGGAGGGACTGGGGCCCTGGTTTGGCTTTCAAACATCATAATTCATATTTGGGGGTCTTAGGGTTTTAAAAAATTTTAATCTGGAGTTTAGGTACAACGAGTCAGGTAAAGTATCACCTTTGGTTCATTACACAGAGCACTGGTTCATGCAGGGCCCTTTAAACCAGTCTTGTATTTATTCATTCCTTTGGAAAATAATTTTAGATAATATTTATTATGAACACCCAAGAACCCCCTAGCCGGAACCAGAGGCTCCCCAGTACCTTGCCCGTGTGCCCCTCCCCTCGTCCCGCTGCTTCTCCCACCAGAGGCATCCTCTCAGCGTGATTGATGGTCCTCATTCCCTGGCCGTTAGGGTTTTGTCAGATACAGGTGTGCGTGTAAATAACACAGCGCTCAGTTCTTGTCATTTTTGAAGCTTTATTTAAAGGATGTCCTTAAGAAAGGGGGTCTCAGTCGGCGCGGCGGCTCACGCCTGTAATCCTAGCTCTCTGAGAGGCCGAGGCGGGCGGATTGCTCAAGGTCAGGAGTTTGAAACCAGTCTGAGCAAGAGCGAGACCCTGTCTCTACTATAAATAGAAAGAAATTAATTGGCCAACTAATATATCTAGGGAAAAAAAAAATTAGCCGGGCATGGTGGCGCATGCCTGTAGACCCAGCTACTTGGGAGGCTGAGGCAGGAGGATCACTTGAGCCCAGGAGTTTGAGGTTGCTGTGAGCTAGGCTGATGCCACGGCACTCTAGCCTGGGCAATAAAGCAAGACTCTGTCTCAAAAAAGAAAAAAAAAAAGAAAGGGGTCTCACACTGTATGTGGAACCTGACTTTTCTACCCACACTACATTGCAAGCTCCCATCCACCCACGTTGCTGACTGTAGCTCAGGCTCATTCTTCTCCGTGGCTTCTAGTGTTCCATGCGTGGATGCCCCAGGGGAGTGCCCATCCAGCCTGCTGCTGATGGGTCTGGGGCACCTATGGGACATCCCTGCCACACTCACGCTCCTGGGAGATAGCTCTGCCACATTCCTGGGAGTGAAGGTGCTGTCCCGTCGGCCATGCACACGTTCTGCTGTGCAGGCCCAGGCGCAGTTGTTTTCCAAAAGTGGCCATCCCGTTTGCACTGTCTGAACAGCCTGCCTGGATTCACAGCCATCGTGGGCCCGTCCAGGGAAGCGCCTCTCCATGCTGTTTCCCCAGCTTTCTGTTGAGCTGTGCGCCCCGTTCTCGCTGATATGTGCCTATGGGAAGTTCTGACCTCTGACCCCTAACGGCCCCACCCGCTCCCTTCCAGGCCTCCAGAGGCTGCACAGGCTGCGGCGCCCCCACTCCAGCAGCGATGCTTTCCCCGTGGGCCCAGCACCTGCCGGCTCCTGCGAGAGCCTGTCCTCCTCCTCCTCCTCGTCATCCTCCTCCTCGGCCTCCTCCTCATCCTCCTCATCCTCAGCAGCTGGGCTGGGGGCACTCTCTGGGTCTCCCTCACACCGCACCTCCGCCTGGCTAGATGATGGCGACGAGCTGGACTTCAGCCCACCCCGCTGCCTGGAGGGACTCCGGGGGCTTGACTTCGATCCCCTTACCTTCCGCTGCAGTAGCCCCACCCCCGGGGACCCTGCCCCTCCTGCGAGCCCGGCACCCCCCGCCCCTGCCTCTGCCTTCCCACCCAGGGCAACCCCACAGGCCCTCTCGCCCCGTGAGCCCACCAGCCCTGCGTCCCCTGCTGCCCTGGACATCTCAGAGCCCCTTGCTGTATCAGTGCCACCCGCTGTCCTAGAACTGCTGGGGGCTGGGGGAGCACCTGCCTCAGTCTCCCCGACCCCAGCCCTCAGCCCCGGCCCGAGCCTGCGCCCCCATCTCATCCCCCTGCTGCTGCGAGGAGCCGAGGCTCAGCTGAGTGACCACTGCCAACAGGAGATCTGCGGCAAGCTGGCAGTGCCCGGTCCCCGAGGAGCCCAGAGCCAGCACGGTGAGTCCTGCTCAGCCCGCCCCGCACTCTCGCAGACCCTGAGGCCGCCCAAGGACCCAGCTGAGCCCCCTTTCCATTCCCTTCTGTGTAGGTCCCGGTATGGATTCACCGTTGCTGCCCCCACCCCTGACCCTTCTGCGCCCTGGGGGTGCCCCACCCCCGCCCCCCAAGAACCCAGCACGCCTCATGGCCCTGGCCCTGGCTGAGCGGGCTCAGCAGGTGGCCGAGCGACAGACCCAACAGGAGCATGGGGGCACCCCACCTGCTCCCCACTCCCCTTTCCACCGCTCACTGTCCCTGGAGGTGGGTGGGGAGCCCCTGGGGACCTCAGGGAGTGGGCCACCCCCCCACTCCCTAGCCCAGCAGGGTGCCTGGGCCCTGGGTCCCCCATCCTACTTACCGAGGCAGCAAAGTGATGGGAGCCTGGTGAGGGGCCAGCGGCCCATGGGGACCTCAAGGAGGGGACTCAGAGGCCCTGCCCAAGTCAGTGCCCAGCTCAGGGCAGGTGGTGGGTGCAGGGATATGCCAGAGACAGCAGCCCAGTCCCCATGTTCTGTCCCCTCACAGGTTTCTACCCCTGGTTTCTCACCAGCCCCCAGGGAGTGCCTGCCCCCCTTCCTTGGGGTCCCCAAACCAGGCTTATACCCCATGGGCCCCCAGTCCTTCCAGCCTAGCTCCCCAGCCCCAGTCTGGAGGAGCTCCCTGGGCCCTCCTGCACCACTCGACAGGGCAGAGAACCTGTACTATGAGATCGGGGCAGGTGAAGGGTCCCCCTATTCTGGCCCCACCCGGTCCTGGAGTCCCTTTCGCTCTATGCCCCCTGATAGGCTCAATGCCTCATATGGCATGGTCGGCCAGTCGCCACCACTCCACAGGTCCCCCAACTTCCTGCTCAACTACCCGCCACCCCCCTCCTGCTTCCCGCCTGACCACCTTGGCTACTCAGCCTCCCAGCACCCTGCCCGGCGCCCCACCCAGCCTGAGCCCCTCTATGTCAACCTGTCCCTAGGGCCCAGGGGTCCTTCCCCTGCCTCTTCCTCCTCCTCTTCCCCTCCTGCCCACCCCCGAAGCCGTTCCGATCCCGGCCCCCCCGCCCCCCGCCTCCCTCAGAAACAGCGGGCACCCTGGGGCCCCCGCACCCCTCACAGGGTGCCTGCGCCCTGGGGGCCCCCCGAGCCCCTCCTGGTCTACAGGCCAGCCCCACCAGCCTATGGGAGGGGGGGCGAGCTCCACCGAGGGTCCTTGTACAGAAATGGAGGGCAAAGAGGGGAGGGGGCTGGTCCCCCACCCCCTTACCCCACTCCCAGCTGGTCCTTCCACCCTGAGGGCCAGACCCGAAGCTACTGCTGAGCTGCGGCTGGGAGGCCCTCCCTCCCTCCTTCCTCCCTCACTGGGTCTTGCCCCAACCCAATCCCTTTTTGTATTTTCTTGCGTCCCAACCCCTACCCCAAGTTTCTAACTTTGTAACTTGCTTCTCGAGTGAGTCCCTAACCAATAATCATAGCTTCCCTACCTTGGGCTGAGGGGTACACCCGTCCCCCACCATCCTCCACCCTGGGAGCCCTCGCACAAATCCGAGGGAGGGCTGGGCTGACGCCTTGTCCTCTCTTTTCCTCCGGAGCCCCCAGCATGTCCTGACCTGTGCACAGGGGCGGGGGGACAGCTCCTGCCCTTCCCCCCCACACACCCCACTAAACCATCTGACAAAATGAATAAAAATGGTGAAAATGTGGCCACCGGTGTCATGCTGGGGCTAGGCTTGGTGAATGAATAAACGGGACAGATGGGTGGCTTTATCGTTTTATTTCCTTTGGGGCAGGCACCGGGTGGGGAGTCACTCCTGGAAGGCTCTGCGGGACGGCATCTGCAGAGAGGGTGCCAGGGACACCCAGGGACTCTGCGCCGGCAGTGGGGCCGAGGCGGGGCTCGGGTCTGAGCTGGCACCTGCTCTGAAGCTCTGCTGTGATCTCCTCCAGCAGATCCATCCTGGGGAGCAGTGGGCAATGGGTAGACCTGGGGTTACCTCAGGGATGAGGGGCCGGGGGTCCCCCACGAGGGCCCCACTTCTCACTTCTGCAGGCTGGAGAAGAGGCTCTCTCCACTCCGCTCAGTGCTGGGTGCCTGTGGGAGAAAAAGGCTGGAGCTGTCACCTGGTAGCCACGAAGCTCCAACGGGAGCTCCAACGGGCCTGGGGGCAGGGGGGCAGGGGGCAGGGGATGGGCTCGGGGACCTCTGCTTAGCCTGCCCTGTGGCCTTCCCTGCCAGCAGCCTCCCAGGGTGTGGGAAGCCTCCGTGGGTCAGCAGGCCGGGGGTGGGCTCACAGGGCTGGGGGTCCAGCGGGGTAACCCTGTGTGTGTGCTGCTGCAGCCCCCGCAGGGTTTGCATCTTGGCTGAAAACTTCCTCTCAAACTGCCGCACAGAGCTCTGGATCCCCAGCAGGGAGGCTGAGTCCTGAAGGCTGGAGTGCAGGGCAGGGCCCTGAGGAAGCAGGGTTGGTCAGGGGTCATAGGTCAGGGGACAGTTGGGAGTCCTTGGGGGTCCCGGTTAGAGGGGAGGCAGCCAGGGAACTTGGGTTGATGACTGCTGGGGGCAGGGATCCCAGGTTAGCGATGGGCCCGCAGGGCTCCGGGGCATGCATACTGTTGAGCTGGGCTGCGGACAGCAGTGCAGGCCGGCCCTGGCTGTGGGGCTGTGGCTGGGCCCAGGGCAAAGGCGGGGGCTGTGACTGGGGCTGCTGCCTAGAGTCAAGCTGCTGCCTGAGCTCCAGGCTGTGCCACTCTGGACCCTGCTGTGGCCCGTGACCTCAGGAGTCTCCAGGGCCTGCAGAGAGTGATGTCAGAGAGTTGACATAGGTTGTCCAGATGCCCCGCCGCTCTCTTGGTCCCCTACATCCCTGCCCTGGCTCCTACCTGGGATGGGATGGGGCCAGGGGACATCACAGGCGGCACAGGCCTGGGTGTGGTCTTGGCTCTGGGAGTCACTTCATAGTACAGTTTCTCTATGGGGACAGACCAGTTGGTTGGACTGGGGAGGCAGAGCTCAGCTGTGCCCAGCACCCACCAGCATCCCCTCCTCGCCCTCTGACCTGGTGGGCAGCCCTGGAGCGCAGAGGACAGTGTGGCCCACTTGGTCAGGCAGCTCACCTCAGGAGCTGAGTCCTGTGGAAAGGAGGCTGAGTATGGGGACATGGGCCCCGCCTGGGGTTCCATGGCTCCACCCACCCCCCATGGCCTGTGCTGTACCTGGGCCACCGCCTCCCGCAGCAGATACCGAGTACTCTGCAGGCTGCCCCAGCGGTCGGCGGGCCTCAGGCCCAGCCCAGCCTGAATCAGGGCCTGGTAGGGGGCTGGCACCAGGGGGTCTAGGCCCGGGCTGTCACCTGCCTCCAGCTTGGCCTTCACCTCAGGCCCCTGTCTTCCAGCCCAGGGCAGCTCTCCTGCGAGGAAGCATGTTTAAGAGACCCAAACAGGCCTCAGTGGGGCAGGGTACAGAGTCACTCACTGACCAGTGAAGACCTCCTGGGCCAAGATGCAGAAGCTGTAGAGGTCTGAGGTGGTGGCAGGAATGTCACCGCAGATCAGCTCAAGTGGCAGCCATGGGTACAGTTCCGGGGGTGGGGGCAACCCTGGGCCTGGGCCTCCCCAGGGGTAGCCCCGCTGCAGCCTGTGGAGCCCAAGGGGACCGGTGAGCCACTGGCTGCTGGGCAGGGACGCGGGGCAGGCGGGGAGGCAGGCACTCACCGGGGCCACAGCCAGCGCTGGTGCAGCGAACGCCCGTGCTCCAGGTGGCCCACCTTGGCCAGGCCCGGCCGCACCAGCTGCACGGCGTGGGAGCTGAGGCCGCCGTGGGCACGGCAGCGCGCCTGCAGGAACAGCAGCGCCTCCAGCACCTGCAGCAGCAGCTGGCCTGGCCGCAGGCCTGGCACAGGCCGGGGCCCCTCCTCACCCGGTCCCCGAGGGTGCAGCACCCCATGCAGGGAGCCCAGCCACACGGGCTCGAAGAGCAGGCACAGCCCCGACAGGTCCGCTGAGGGGCTCAGCGCCATCAGCAACAGCAGGCTGGGGTGGTGCAGGGTGCTGGGCAGGAGGACAGCAGGCCACTCACCAGCAGGCCCCAAACCCCACGGGGTGGGAGCTGCTCCCGGGCACAGACCACCCACCGCGTGCCAGGGCAGACGATCTGTACCAGCCTCTAGACGAAGGAGAACCTGAGAGGCGGGTCGCAGAGCCCCCAGTGGTGCAGCCAGCTCCCCGTGCGCGCCCCATCCGTGCTACCCCTCCCACGCCACCTCCTCTCTGGGGCGCACAGGACGCTGCACAAAGAATGGGGTGCCCACTTTCCAGTGGGGTGGGGAGCACCCCAGCAGGAGGGCTCTAGGCCAGGTGCTGGCCCTGAAGCCAGACTGTAACCGTGGCTATTGCCACACTCCCTGGTCATGTTTTATGAAGGCTCGAGGTGGGAGGGCAGGCAGGAGCCGGGCCAGGGGACCGGGCTGAGGACTACCTGCAGTGCCGAAGGTCGGCCAGCAGCACATCGGGCGGGGCTCCAGGGGCCTTCGGCTGCCGCGAGGTCACGGGGTGGCCCCTCCACAGGAGGCTGGAGAATGGGGAGGGGGGGGAAGGCACCGGTCTGAGACCGGGGGGCTTTCCTCGTGAGGGGACACTGCAAGGGCAGAAGAGGGGGCTCTCACTTGGCCATGAGGGTGCGGGAGCTGCTCTCGTAGGTGCGGTCGGGCTCGCCCTGCGCTGGCAGCAGCTCCTTGGGGTCCGCGAGGGGTATGCTCGTTACTAGCCCCAGTGGCCACAGGCTGCTCAGCTGGGGTGGGGAGCAGACCGTGAGGCACAAAGATGACAGGGGTAGTTCCCACTGCCCCAGCCTGTCCCGCTTACCTGACCGAACCCCAAGGCCGGGACCCGGGGGGACCGCCTGATCTGCTCTGGCCTCTGTGCCCTGGGTGAAGGGCAAGCCGAGGGTAAGTCTGGGGTAGGTGGGCATGGAGGGGGGATGGGAGGGCTTCAGGGTGTGGACAGTTACCTGTCTGCCTGCCACAGTGAGGACAGGGAGCCAGGTAGGCTGTTCCCAGATCTGGCCTGCAACTGGCCCACAGATGCCATGAGTGCCAGCTCACTGCCATGCACTAAGGCTGAAACGCGGGCACGGCAGAGCTGTAACAGCTCCAGCACCTGGATGGGGGCGGGCGGGGTGAGGCCAGGCGGGGGTGCTGGCCCTGATGCCCCGCCCCCACCTGGGCCACTGCTCACCTCCCAGCTCTGCTTGGCACCACCCTGCTCAGCCCAGTCTCGCGGTGTGCGGCCCTGCTGGTCGTGCAGACGCGCGTCGCCCCCTGCCTGCAGCAGCTGCAGCATCACCCGGCCGCAGCCCGAGAAGGCGCCGGCGTGCACAGGCGTGCTGCCATCCCGGCAGCGGCTGCAGCGGAGCAAGGGGGGTGGGAACCCATTAGGAAAGGGACCCAACGGCCCCAAAGTGGCAAGATCGGGCCCTGAGGGAAGGGAGGAGTCACTGTGAACATGGGAGGTGGGTATCAGGATGGGAGGGGTCGCTGGGGGACACAGTGGGGTCTCTGAAGGGAGGAGAGGATCACAGTGAGCAGGGGCGGCAGCAGAATGGGAGTGGTCACCGGGGAATGAGAGGGAAGGACAAGCAGGGTCACCAGGAATGGGAAAGGAGTCACGAGGGAGAGAGGCCTCAGGGGAAGAGAGCCCTGGGAGTGTGGGGGCATCACCGCCTGTCCACTCACTGGTTGGGGTCGGCACCGAAGGCCAGCAGGAGCTGCACCGCAGAGCCGTGGCCCAGCAGTGCCGAGAGGAAGAGCCCCGTCTGCCCGGCAGAGTTCTCAGCGTCTACCTGCACGACTGAGGGGCGGCGGGGCTTAGGGCGGTCCCGGCCCCGTCCTTCAGGGGCAGGGGTCCCGACGGCCACCAGGCAAACACCCGTGCCAATCCCCAGCCTTGACTGGGTGACCCCTGACCCCAGCTTCCCTTTCTGTCCTGGAACCCCTACCCTCCAGCTGCTGGGGACTCTAACTCAGACTCTGTCTCGACACAGTGCTCCAGAAGTCACCATGTGAAGTCCACAGAGCCAGAACAAGCAGTGACATCCGCCTGCCCTGCAAACATCCGTCCCCCATTCCAAAGGTGTCAGAATCATACGAAGGTCCCCAGGGGCCAAGAGGGAGAGGACTGCATGGGGACTTTGGCTTATAGGAGCCTGAGCACTGTCCAAGCCAGGCGGGCTCCACCCAGTGCTCACTCAGTGTCGTGCACACAAGTCCACGCGGCCAGCATCGAATTCTTCAAGGAAGGCAAACTCTCTGGATTTTATCAGGAAATCTCTCAAATTTATTTGTTTGTTTATTTATTTATTTATTTTCTGAGACAGAGTCTCACCCTGTTGCCCAGGCTAGAGTGCCGTGGCGTCAGCCCAGCTCACAGCAACCTCAAACTCCTGGGCTCAAGCAATCCTCCTGCCTCAGCCTCCCGAGTAGCTGGGACTACAGGCATGCGCCACTATGCCCGGCTAATTTTTTCTGTATATTTTTAGTTGGCCAATTAATTTCTTTCTATTTTTAGTAGAGATGGGATCTCGCTCTTGCTCAGGCTGGTCTCAAACTCCTGAGCTCAAAGGATCAGTCCACCTCAGCCTCCCAGAGTGCTAGGATTACAGTTGTGAGCCACTGCGCCCGGCCTCAAATTTATTTTTGAACACTGCATCTAAGAGCTAAATCTAGGTCAAAACCTCCTCTGCACCCCACCTCTATGCCTGTCCCCCTCTCCCTACCATCACCCTGCTCAGATTCCCTCCCAACCACTCACCCTCTGCCCCAAGCCCTGTATCTCCCTGCCCATCATTCCCGAGTTCCTCTTCTTCCAGCCCCTAACCCAGGCAGGTCAAATGCATGATGTCCTTGTCCTTGCACTCCTATGTCCTTGGCAGACATGGCCAATCGATCATGCACTTGGTCCAAGACAGCTTGGTCTCTGCCATGAAATCCCTCCAAATGTAGTCCTTCCAGAACCTGTAAATACCACGTCCACTGCATCACACTGTATTCAGCCAAGCATCTTTTTCTTTTTTCATCCTAAAGTCTAAAGGCATCACCGTCCTTTGCAAAGGCTCCCTAATGGCTTTCTGCGCTCATCTTGCCCCACGGAGGCCTCTTCTTAAAACACAAATCATTTTAAGGACTAGATAATCTTGTACAAGTTCCCCAAAAAGAAAAAGAGGGCAAGGCTCATCTGAATGACCTTAATTCCAAAACCAGATAAGAGCTTCCAGAACCAGAAAATAAGATTAGATATCAATTCCACTTACAATCATATATATGAAACCCTAAATAAAGTAAAATTGATGATTCAACATAAGAAAATCTATCAATGTAACTAAATTCATGCATGGTTGGTGTAAAGGAAAAATTCACATGTTTAAGTAGATACAGAAAAAGTACTTGGTAAAATTTAATACCTACTTACAATTAGGAAAAAAAAAAACACCTTAGAAAACTTAGATAGGAACTCTCTTACTTGCTAAAAGCTATAAACCAAAAAACACCAGCAAGCATGATACTTCATTCAAAAACAGACTAATTCCCCTTAATATCAAGAACAAGGAAACAGATCATGGTTTAGGACTTCTAGCCAATAACTTAAGTCAAGAAAAAGAAATTAGAGTTTAAATACCGAAGGGCTGAAACCAAACTGCCACTGTCTGCAAATAACAACAACAACAAAAAAAAAAACCTAAAAGAATCAACAATTACAACTATAAAGCAAGTTAAGCTTTATAAAGCCTGATACACAATCAACTATAATTAAACTATAAAGCCTGATACACAATCAACTTAAAAAAAATCAGCGAAAATGGAAATCGTAAATTGATAATGTAATGTTATTTGTCATGTTAATTTCTTGCTTACACCACCAACTGCATCACACACACACACAACAAAATCCAATAAAAAATTCGCACCCCTTCGTCCTCAGTCCTCTCTCACACATGCGCAGTTCATCATGACTCCAGGGCCCTTCGCAAAGGTTAGTCCATCTTCCAAGGGTCTCTCCCTTCTCTCCCCCTTTTGCATGACTGGCTCTTATACTGCGGGACGCAAGCATCACCCCACTTGAAGAGCCATCCTGTCTGACGCGTCTCACCCTCATCCTCAGCCTGTTAGATGTGACTCACAACGATCTAGAGGTCATGTTCACGCTCAAATCCCCATCATGGACCACAGGGCCTGGCACAGGGAAGGTTTCCAGGACGAAACTGCTGAGTGGCCACACCCCCCACACTGCCCCTTAGTCCTGCCCCCACGGGCGGGCGGTCCCAGCAGCCAGGCCCTCACCTCTGCGCAGGAGCCTGGCCAGGCCCCAGCCCGGGCCCCCAGCCACAGCCAGGCGATGCAGACGGCCCACCTGGGTGTCCGGATCCCGCACGGAGCCCAGCTCCACGGGGAAGCGAGAGGACAGCGAGGGCATCCGTGGGCTGCAGACTGCGTCCGGTGCTGCTGGGCAGGGGTCAGCTAGGGGGTCTCATGAGGGCAGGGGGCAGCGAAGGGCCGGGCCTCTGGCAACAGTAAAGCAAGAAAAACAGCTGGCTGGGAGTCGGGCGGAGGGGTGGGGGGCAGTCTAGATGAGGAGGGGATTCAGGAGGGGTCTGATGGGACGGGAGGCGTCCGAGTGAGAATCCGGGGGGGCTCTGGGAGGGCTACATACCCGCAGGTGAGGCGTCTAAGGGAGTCCGAGGGCTGCGAGGGGGCTTTAGGGCCAGGGTAGGGCGTGCAAAGGGAGTAAAAGGGCTGCGAGGATAGGGCCCCAGCCTGGGAAAGGAGTCCGCGGGCGCAGGCGGCCGCTCTGAAGATTGCGGGTCGGAGGAAGAGGGGCCTGTGGTTTGGGGTCTGAGCGGGCCCGAGGGGGCGCGCTCTGAGGGCAGGCTCTGCGCGCTGGGAAGGGGTCTGAGGCCGGCACAAGGCTGGGTCTGCGGGGTGGGGGCGGGGACGGGGTCTAGGGGAGAGCCTGCGTGTTGGGGGTGTGGCCTGCGGGCGGGGGGAGGGGCTGGGGTGTCTTAGGGCGGAGTCTGAGGGCCGGGGGAGGGGCCTGGGGGAGATCTCCAGGCCTCGAAAGCTCTAGGAAAGTTCTCAGCCCAGACCTCCATCCTGGTGCCTTTGACCCTACCGTTGGCCTCCGTGGCGGTCATGTGACTGTCACGTGACGCGTGCGCGCTAGGCAGTATGGGCGGGAATTCTGAGCACATGCGCATCAGTGGCCTCCTGGCACGCTTGTGCAGTAGCCTTAGTCTCCCCAGAGAGGTGTCCTGTTGGCCCTGGAGTGGCCCCAGACAAGAGACAGTGGTGTTCTCCCAGGAGCTGTGCTCTGCACGTTCCTCCCTTCTTGCCGACTCTCAGGACTTCTTTGCGGCGCGGGCCCTTCTTGATCTCTGTCCTTGGCTGTCTTCCTCCCGTGCTTCTTACCTAACCCCGAGGAGTTTCCTCTGTAGCCGCCCCAGGACTGGGAGTCCCTCCGGATGCCTCCCCCTGCACGTCCCCTGGGACCTGTCACACCAAGCGGGTCCCACACTGGCCCCAGTTCTGGCCACAAAACTGTGTTTTCTCCCTGTCCCCATCTAGGGTTGGCCCCACTGTCCCCCTTTGCAAACCAGAGTCCTGGGCCTCACCCTGGCCATCTCCTTTCCACCTGGCCCGTCAGCCCCATGGCCCATCCTCTCTTCCACCTGTCCTTTCTACTTCCCCTGAGCTGTCCTCCCCGCAGCCGGCCCTGTCCCAGCCTCCCCCCGGGCTCCCAGCCTGTCTCCCCTCTCTGGTCCCCCCTCTGCATGGCAGCCAAGGGAATCTTTCTGACCTCGTCCCTCCACTGCCTGAAACCCTCCTGACTCCCTAGTGCCCCTGGGACAGAGTCCAAGCCCTGCAGTCCGGCATCATCTGACCCTGCCCTCCCATCCTTGTCTGTCCACCCCCCAGTCTATGTCACACACACTGTGTGCTCATGCACTCGCCCTTGAATGCGCTTCTCAGTCTTCACCAGTTGTCTTATGAGTTCTCTGGGATGTCCTCTTGATCACCCCCAGTGTGGCTCAGGGGCCTCCCTGGCCTCCCACGGCCCACTGAGCTTCCCCAGCACAGCCCTGGCCACTCTGCGCTGTCACTGTCTGAAGATGGGTCTGTCTACCCCCACTGGACTAACAGCCGTGTGATGAGGCAGGGCCTGAGGTTGTCCTTGCCACTGTTGTGTCCCCAGCATCGTTCACCTCAGAACCTAGCCCAGAAGGGGCCTCATTCAATGTTATTAACCAAGAGAGGGGTTTGGCTTTCCCTTCTGTCCCTGCCTGGACATGTGGCCTTGGCCCAGCCTCTTGACTCTCATGGCTCGGTGTCTGTTCTTCACCTGGGCATCCACTGGGGTGACAAAAAGCCCTGCATGAGTCACCGACCAGGCCATCCCAGGACCAGCTGCCTCGGGGGTGAGGGGAGGCTTCATTAGTCCTTGATCAATGCCCTTGCTATGCGCTAGGGTCATCAAAAGATCTCCGAGCTGCAGAGTCCCCCAGCTTGGGCTGGCTGCGGTCAGGACGAGTCCTTCCTCAAGGCGGCGGCTTCAATGCAGGACAGCAGCCTGGGTGATAGCTTGGGACCTTTATTGACCGCATGCCCCACAGGGGTGCTAATGGCGTAGCCTTGGGCCTCCCCCCAGCAGCCTCCGCCGCAGTTCTTGGCTGAGCAGATCCTGTTCCCTGCGGGCGCCCTGAAGCACACTCCGGTTCTCCTGGGCCCTCCGGATCAGGTAGGGGATCACCTCCTCCAGGGAGCCGTAGGGGATGGACTTATACACTGCATAGCCAGCCTGCCCTGGGGGGGGGGGAGCGTTGGCAGCCATGGGCTGGGATGTGGGGGGAGGCCCCCCTTTCCCCCCGTCCCCACCTGGAACAGAGACTTCCATTTCCAGGAGCACGGCACACTATGTGAGTTGGACAAAATTTCTCCCTGAACAAACTAAGAATCCTGGAGCAAATATTTTTTAAAATATTCTTAACGTTATTAAAATGCCGAGTGAGTAAGAAATTTATGACTCCAAAAATGAAGAGAAAGTGAAAACCCAGAGAGGGAAGGAACACATATAGGAAGCCACTTCTGCCCCAGATGCAAAATCGAGCTGCTCTCTGATGACCTTACCGAGTTGCAGGGGTCCCGTTAGGGTCAGGCTCAAAGCCTGACTGAGCTGAGAGTTATAAAGGACAACGTCCCCCAGTTAAGCTGGAACCCAGAAAAGCTATACCCTCAGAGTAAGAGTTAACAAGAAGCCAATCCCCCACCTTCCCTCCCACCCAGAGAACGGCCTTGGCCATAATAAGCACATCAGGGAAGAGGTGGCCCCCTCACATATTTGCAGCCCGAATTTGCATCGCTGGGATGTCTCAAGAAACATCAAGCTGTGAATTTAGGGCAAAGTGGTTTTGTACCCCTTAGCACATGGCAGAAGGAAACATAAATCATCCGGTGGCAGGCCCTGGGGAGCAGCACAATAAAGATAACAAGGCGCAAGGAAGCGAGACACTATGATCGAGAACCAGCAAAGCAACAGACAGCAGACACAGAGACGCAGCCCCACACGGCCCGCGGATGTTGGAATAACGCATCTATCTGGAAGGGTCTGGAGGCCAGGCCAGTGCAGGCGCTGGGCGGGAGCCTGGCCAGGCCTCAGGTGAGAAGGGCAGAAGGATCTGGCTGGGAGGGAGTGAGGCCTGGGGCTGCAGGGTGGAGGGGTGGGGAGGAGGGACTATTCACATACCCAGTGCCAGGGAGACGTGGTCACACATGCCCAGAAGTTGTCCGAAACAGACAGGCCCATCCAGAGGGATGCCCAGCTCCCACATGCTACAGAAAAGGCCAGGTCATCAGTCCAGACCGTGGCTGGGTCTAGAACTGCAAGTAGGCTGTTACACGTATGGCTGTTCTCCAGTAATTGAAATATTGAAGTATTTCCAAACTCGATGATGAGTAACTACCTTCTGAGTCCCTTGAAGGCCCCCCAGTGAGTCCCAGCCACCTCCCTGGAACGCTCAGACCTCCCTGTGCCCCGGCAAATAGGGGACAATGCTTTGTCTGTCTGGGGCCTACAGAACTTACAGGCATAGCAGGGGTTAAACATCTGGAATATCCTCCCCAGAGCATCTCACTGTTCCTCCACCCTCTGCCCGTATCTGGCACATGAGCAAGGGAGAGGAAGGGAGGGGGCCTTCCCGTGGGTCCCCGTTTCCCATCCCCCACCTCATACCGCTTGGTTGCCTGGCGAACCGATTCCTCGTTGTGGGAAGCCACCATGAGGTGGCACATGGGCCCGTGGCAGGACACCTGGTTCAGCATCAGCTCCAGACAGCGGCTGTAACTAAAGCGGGACGCTCCGTTCAGCTCACCTGCTGAGCGAGGGCCAGGGCTCGGGGACTTGGGCTGGGCTGTGCCTAAGTGCCCCGTTCCATCTGCACCCGCTGCAGGGGACATCCCTTCTCTGAGCCACGTTCCCCTCTTGTAACAGTGCGAGTTCACCAGCCAGTGCTGTCGTGAGGATGGAGCGAGATGAGGGCGTGTCTGAAATCCTGGGCACAATGACAGTCTCGCAGCAAAGGGTCATGTCACCCGCACAGGGGGGCGTGTACCCGAGGCTGTTCACTGCAGCATTGTCGACAGGACCTGATCAGCAACAGCCCAAAGTCCGTGAGTGGGAGCTGGGTAAGTGAACGGTGGCCCAAAGAGGTCAGGGAAGTATTGTGGCACTGTCTGGGCACTGATGTGCACAGGTCAAAAGAGTGGCCAGGGCCGGGCGCAGTGGCTCACACCTGTAATCCTAGCACTCTGGGAGGCCGAGGCAGGAGGATTGCTCGAGGTCAGGAGTTCGAAACCAGCCTGAGCAAGAGCGAGACCCCGTCTCTACTATAAATAGAAATAAATTAATTGGCCAACTAATATATATATAGAAAAAGTTAGCGGGGCATGGTGGCGCATGCCGGTAGTCCCAGCTACTCTGGGAGGCTGAGGCAGGAGGATCACTTGAGCCCAGGAGTTTGAGGTTGCTGTGAGCTAGGCTGACGCCACGGCACTCACTCTAGCCTGGGCAACAGAGCGAGACTCTGTCTCAAAAAAAAAAAAAAAAAAAAGATTGGCCAGTGCTTCCCAAGCTCCCTGCAGGCCACGTGCCACCTTGTGACCATCACGTGCTATGCTGAGTATTCTCCGCTGCCCCCGATCTGCTCTCTGCCCCCCAGGAAGTGGGCCGTGACGTCCCGCATCACCCGTGGAGCCGCGTGCAGGAGATCGGAAGGCGGGAGGAGAGAGAGCGCGGGTATTTTGCCCTGGCCCCTCCCTTGCTCTCCCTGTGTTCTCCAGATGTCCCCAGCGCCACTAGGGTGGCCTCCCTCTCTCAGCGATAGCACAGGGTTGGAAACCACTCCACTCTTGTGAGTTCCTGGTGTCTCAACATTCCTCGTAGGGAAATGCCCCAAACCTCGTCCAGACGTCTGTAAATACTCACCACACTCAGTTTCCTTTAGTTAACCCCTTTACGTGCAATTCCGGAATTCTGATTCCTCTGGGAAAATCTAATCGCTCATCTAATTCTCAGATCAACTCTGTGGCCTAGATGTCCTTGTCCACATTTTACAGAGGAGGAGACCGAGACTGAGAAGGGCTATGTCTCTTGTCCCCACGTCACACAGCTAGAAGTGGCCAAGTGGGGATTTGAATTCAGGCTGTCGCCCAGGCCCATTAGCACTGGACTGTTTTGCCTTTTTTTTTTTTTTTTTTTAGACAGTCTCACTCTGTTGTCCAGGCTAGAGTGAGTGCCATGGCGTCAGCCTAGCTCACAGCAACCTCCGACTCCTGGGCTCAAGTGATCCTCCTGCCTCAGCCTCCCGAGTAGCTGGGACTATAGGCATGCGCCACCATGCCCCGCTAATTTTTTCTATATATATTTTTAGTTGGCCAATTAATTTCTTTCTATTTTTAGTAGAGACTGGGGTCTCGCTCTTGCTCGGGCTGGTTTCGAACTCCTGACCTCGAGCAATCCACCCTCCTCGGCCTCCTAGAGTGCTAGGATTACAGGCGTGAGCCACCGTGCCTGGCTGCTGTTTTGCCTTTGAGGTACACAGTCTAGTGG